AATGAGGAGGCAGAGAGCTGGGACAGCAGCTGCATGAGTTAAAAATCCTTCAAGCTTTATAACTGCTTTAAATAAATGTGTTGGTTTTGTGCTGTAGTTCTGTTTTAAGAAGTCTACAATTCAGTGGCAATCTATAACTGGAAAATATCAATATTAAATTCTGACATTAAAGTTAGCTGACATATGGACATGATCTTCCTATAATTGTACCGCTCATGCAGTTCAGATGAACCAAACAAATAGATGCTTCATTTAGTTGGGCAGTTGTGTGCAGTTTTCCACTGTTCTGGAGGACCAAGGCACAAGGCCTGAGCAGTGCAACTGCAAAGAGAACTAAGAGGCTGAATACTTTTTTGTTTGTTCGATGGTAGAAACCCCTGCATAGGCAACTGATGTCTTTAGTTGAACTTCTCTTTGCCATTTTAAATAAAAGTGGGCATAAAAAGCCCAAGACACCAAAAACTCAGGGTTAAAATGCCATCCGAGAATCCAATAGGAATGGCAACTCCAGGGCATCTGTACTAGTGTTGACCAACATAACATCATAGAGCTCCATGGGATCATTACAAAACATAATTTAAACCTTCTCAAGCTAAGTGGAAGAATGCTGCTTAACATTCATGGATAGAGAGCCTACCCAAGTATACCAGACCTTGTAGAATTTGTGGGGACATCCCCGAGATAGGTAGATAGCCTTATACAATGAGATCATGGAATTAATTAACCTCTTCCAGCAATTAGAAGTGGGTGCATCTGGAGGTTTCCATTTTAGCGCTATAGCTTTCCTAGCATAAAACAATAAGATTCCTAATAGGGTTCTATAGGCCCTGTTGTGTGCCAGAGAGTCAACCAACCCCAACAGACATACATTCACTGTTAGTGGTACCTGTATATAGTAGTAACCACAAGGATACAGGTGACCACCGACCTCCAGAAGAACTGAATATGTGGACACTGCCAAAAAATATGGATGAAGTTGGCCGAGGTCGCCCCACATCTCCAATAATCATCAGGGACTGAGGAATATATTCTATGAAGACATATAGGGGTGAGATAAATACGGTGCAGAATTTTAAGCTGTATCAGTCTGTCCTTGACAGAGACCAGTTCTTGAAAGGAACATTCCCATATATCTTCCCAGTCTTTGTCATCCAGTTCTGGGAAATCAACTTGCCACTTAGTTTTAAGAGCCTCAAGTCCCTTATGGACAGAGGGAAGCAATTTAGTGTAATCCAGTTTATTAAAAATAACAATAAAGTCTGCACCATATGCACTCACATGTTCCATGTAGGAATAAGGCATGTAGGAATAAGCCATGTAGGAATAAGGCAAACACTGATGGTCGCTGCATGATCCAGGTGATGTTAACTGTACAAATCCTCCTTGTATCACCAGCTGACAGCTAGGATGCCACTGCAACCTGTCATGAGCATGGAGATGGTACTGCGCATGCGCCCATGCCTGAGAGCGCTGAGCTTTGTTGATTGCAGTGCAGGGAGAAGCTTGGGGTGCAGAAGACAGACACACTCATATGTCATGGTTGCCAGGACAACATGTTTCGGAGGTGTAGCCTCCTTTATTAAGTCACGCCCACCCCTCACACATACCGGGTTTTATAGGGACTCCTTCCCCAGCCTAGATCTTAAAGTGACCATAGCAGGAGAAATTGGCTGCACACTAATAATATTAAACAGGGCAACAGAAACCCACAACATTACTAAAGCCTATAAAATTAATAAACAGCTATAAATAATATATATATTAGATGTTATATAAATTTGATTAAATAATATAGTGCATAAATGAGTCACCTAATATAAAAGGTGTGTTTCTACCTCAATAACTAGTATAAAAAAGAAATTTTTACTAGAGACATAATACAAAAAAAAGGAGAGGGGCTTCCTCATCATTACCAAAAAACCCCAGAGTAACCCTATCATGACTTGACGACTAAATAGCTTCATCATATTCATTGGTAAACATATGGTTGATGACCTTGGCTGATAGGTCATATCATATAAGAGGATAAAGAGTCCCCAAAGATTTACCAATCTGACTAATCTAGGGGGAGGGGTATTTTTGGAAGGTGGAATTTAGAGGTAGGAAAGGGAGGGGAGCGTGTGGGGTCTACAGGCCCAAACATGAAACTAGTACGTGTATTTTACTTGAGGTTATTGATTTCTAATCCCTTATTCAAGCCATCGGGGGGACATTGTGTTTAGAGTGAAAATCCAGAATGTTTACCTAGCACAAAGTCTGGAGACTCTTTCCCCCTCTGGAATCGACATAGGGAATGGCCTTAATCCCAAAGGTTGAGATTTAATCCATTGTTATTTATACAACCATGCACCCTTGCATTTTCTTACATATTTAATAATATGGAGAATGTAACTGGAGGCACCATTGGAGCATCTAAGAGAGAAAATTAGTTTAGTAGATGGTTTAAATCATCAGCATCTACCAAAACCCAATAACCTGTAAAATCACTGTAAATGCAAATAAAATCTAAATTGGATTGTGTATGTAGACAGAATCTGAGAATCTTTTGGTACCTGCAAAGCCCGGAAATGTTTACTTTGGTCATGCATTCCTGTTCAGGTCAGTGGAGAGAGAGAAACGGGGAAGAAGAGAGTTACTGATAGATCCTGCCAGCATCACTTATCTCAAGGGGAACCATAAAAAGCCAAACAAGTATTCTAAAACAGTTGACAAGATTGGGGGCCTTCCACAGACTTAAGATCATTGCCCGATTAAGGCTAAAATGGGCCAAGTGTCACTGATATTGACCCTTACTGATAATGATATTGATGTATACAAATTTCTTATTTAAAGTGGTTCTACAACCCCTGGCAAAAAGTATGGAATCACCACTCTTGGAAAATGTTCATTAAATTTGTTAAATTGTGTAGAAAAAAAAAAAACAATCACAGACATGCCTCAAAACTATTTTAACATTTTAACATATTTAACATTCCAACCTTCTGGTGTTAAGAAACACTTAAAAAAATAAAAAAGAAAGAAAACTGTAGTCAATTGAAACTGTTTTTGTAGATCAAGCAGAGGAAAAAAATATGGAATCACTCAATTCTGCGGAAAATATTACGGAATCACTATGTACTTTGCAGTTCTAAAACAAACATCTGCATCAGATGACATCTGCTAATTAGTCTGCAGTTAAAGAGTGCTTGCACACCTTGCTGAGCTGTTGCACCAAGCTGATTGACATGAATCATGGCTCCAACACGAGAGATGTCATTTGAAACAAAGGAGAGGATTATAAAACTTCTTCTAGAAGGTAAATCATCACGGAATGTTGCAAAAGATGTTGGTTGTTCCCATTCAGCTGTGTCTGAAATCTGGACCAAGTACAAATCAAATGGGAAGGTTGTAAAAGGAAAGCGTACTGGTAGACCAAGGAAGACAAAGCGTCAAGATAGAAAACTTAAAAAAAAAAGCAATAAGCCTTGAAACTGGAAAATGTACAACAAAACAAATGAGGAACAAATGGGCACAAACTGGAGTCAATGTCTGTGACCGAACTGTAAGACATCGCCTAAAGGAAATGGGATTTACATACAGAAAAGCCAAATGAAAACCATCATTAATACCTAAACATAAAAAAATAAGGTTACAGTGGGCTAAAGAAAAGCAATCATGGACTGTGGATGACTGGATGAGAGTGATATTTAATGATGAATCACAAATCTGCATTAGGCAGGGTGATGATGCTGGAACTTTTGTTTGGTGCCGTTCCAATGAAATGTATTAAGACGACTGCCTGAAGAAAATATGCAAATTTCCACAATCATTGAGGATATGGGGTTGCATGTCAGGTAAAGGTACGGGGGAGATGACAGTCATAAAATCTTTTATAAATGCACAAGTTTATATTGAGATTTTGTACACTTTTCTAATTCCATTAATTGAAAGGATGTTTGGTGATGATGACATCATTTTTCAGGATGAAAACACATCTTGCCATAGGGCAAAAGCGGTGAAAACTTTTCTTCAAGAAAGACATATGATAGGAGATTTACTAAAACTGGTTGACTCAGAATTTTGGGCACCTGTGCATGGTAGCCAATCAGCTTCTAACCTCAGGATGTTCAGTTAAGCTTCAGCAATAAAACCTGGAAGCTGATTGGTTTTTATGCAGAAGTGGACAAGATTCTGAGTCAACCAGGTTTAGTAAATAAACCCCATGATGTCAATGGCATGGCCTGCAAATAGTTCGGACCTCAATCCAAATGAAAATCTAAGGTAGAAATGAAAGAAAATGGTCCATGTCAAGGCTCCTACCTGCAAAGCTGATCTGGCAACTGCAATAAGAGAAAGTTGGAGACGGATTGATGAAGAATTCTGTTTGTCGATAGTTAAATCCATGCCTCAGAGAATTCAAGCTGTTTTAAAAGCCAGAGGTGGTGCAACAAAGTACTAGTGGTGTACTGGAGTGTATTTTTCATGATTCCATAATATTGTTTGCTCAGAATTGAGTGATTCCATATTTTTTTCCTCTGCTTGATCTGCAAAAACAGTTGCAACTACTACAGTTTTTCTTTCTTTTTTATTTTTTTAAGTGTTTCTTAAAGCCAGAAGGTTGCAATGTTAAATTAAAATAGTTTTGAGGCATGTCTGTGATTAGTTTTTTTTTTTCTACACAATTAAACAATTGAATGAACATTCTCCAAAAGTGGTGATTCCATATTTTTTGCCAGGGGGGTGTAAAGTCTCAAGGTTTTCTACCTTTATGCATTTAATGCATTAAGGAAAAAACCTTAAGTGTGTTGCTTCCCACCTCCAGCCCTCTTTATACTTACCTGAGCCCTATCTCCATCCAGCAATTGGCACGAGAGCAATGTTTCTTCCCTCATTGAACAGAAAGGCAGCAGCGGTAGCCATTAGCTCCTGCTGTAGTCAGTCACAGCCAGTGAGGAAGGAGAGGAGGCCGGGGCAGAGCTGTTCTCTGTGTGTTAATGGATACACAGAGCAGTGGCTCAGGAGCAGGGGCGGACTGACCATTTGGGACCCCGGGCACTGCCCGAGGGCCCTGGATCAGTAGGGGGCCCCATGAGATGCCCCTGGTACCTTTTCATAGGCTTTTTTGGGTGTGGTTTGATTGTAGGCGAGGACACAGGGGCCCCATGATCCCCTATTGCCCAGGGGCCCCATGAGTTGTCAGTCCGCCCCTGCTCAGGAGTAAGCATTCACAAGTGCCTCCATAGCAAACGCCTTACTATGGAAGCACTCAATGGGAGAGGAGCAGACAGCACCGGCAAGGGAACCAATTAAGAGGAGGATCAGGGATGCTGTGTGCAAAACCACTGCACAGAGCAGGTAAGTATGACGTGTGTGTTTTTAATTAAAAAAAAAAAAGCTAAGCTTTACAATCACTTTATTGAAAATAGGTATTTCATTAAACAGACTAGTAATGCTTAGCATTTTTTGGCATTATGACTCAAATTGGGTTTCCTAGCTACTTGATCATTTAACTCTGCAATTGAAAAACTGAATACCCTTTACCTGATCGAACTTGGTATATTTGTTACGTTGAATCATTATTTATTGTGACTCAGAAAATCAGCATTAAATATAACTTATTGAAAGCCCAAATCTCTTGACTTGAGTTTCAGAGATTTAACTAAATTACTAGGTAACATTGTCTTCATTTCCTTGCCATACACACTGATGATTTTTTCTTAATTAAATACTAGATTTTTAAACATTTTCTAATTAAAAGTGTGAAGTAGACAATCTGATCACTGGTTAATTACGGGTTTTGCAAGGTAGGGATTTATTATGCCTGACCTATAAAGGCATCCATAGTGCCTCTGCCACATATTGTGACACTTTTAAATGGCACAATGATAGGCTTGCACCGGAACAAAAGGGCACACAGCCATGCTTACACTGATACAAGCACAGATACACACAAAGACTCTTGTAATCTGTATTTGCAAACAAAAGCTAAGGAGAAAAAGGAGAGGGCTGTGGGCTGGTTGCCAAATGTGGTGAGAGAGGAGTTAATGGATCGGGGGGGACACAGCAGAGAGCGCCAGACAGATTTGGGTCTGATCCAAAGAGTTAATGTTCCTTCCATGATCGATTACTTGTCAGATGTGATTTTAAACCAATACAAGATAAATAGCATCATTTCCCCAGCTCACTTCAGACAGAATTAAGAAGCCATTAGCTAACACAAATTTTAGGCAAGTTTAATAGAAGCACAAATTTACATTTGTAAGAAAGGCTCCCCAAGGTATGTTACAAAAATGCAAATGAGTTAGAGCCACCTCTACTTTTCTGCCATCCAGAAAACCTCTCTCTGTCTCCACCTTATGCTCTGACCAGCCTGTGCTTCTTCTAATGTGCAATCCTATGTTCCTTAACCCCAAAATAATACCCATAGTGTTGAAACTGTTCTATCTACTCCTCAAAGGCATCCTAGGCTGATGACAGCTTCACCATATGAAGCTAGACACAGCTTCTCCGGTTCCTTGGTTGGCTAGGGAATTGCACAGCTGGATATGCATATACAGTATGAGCCTCCATGGCTGCAGACCAAAACTGACAGATACGGGCAATCTAAGCGGGGTGCTTGAACAGCATATTATGCTGTGGACATACGAAAGCCACATATATGTACTATCATGACCCCTCAAGACATCTGTTATCCCAGTTGTTTGAAATAAATGTAATATTCTGTTGGCCTAAACATAAAAGTAGCAGATCATACATTAACTGACTATCATCGGAGAACACCTAAATATTACTCTTCTCTGCAAATGGTCTACACATCTTTAGGAACCTTATGAGAAAACAATGTAACATGATAGATCAACTGCCCATGTACGCGACACAGGACCTTGCTGTACCTTGGTGTACCTTGATGCTGTACCTATCCCAGTCAACGAAAATGTCACTCTTATGCCATTAGTAGACTGCTCTTCATTTGGCGATACCCTCATAATTCCAGGACAGACATCATGAAGAAGTGTTGGCAGCGTGGGTACCAGCATTGTTTGGACAGTTCCTGCTTTGAATAGGTAACCACACCAATGAATTTGCAGCTTTTCTGTCATGGATATCAATCAAAGTTTCCCTTTACCTATTGATACCAATAATAAGCAGTCCTTCTCCCTCTAAACACCAATTTAAAAGAACATTTACATTGACCACCAGTGTGACAGGAGACTCTATACTGACCATCAATATAATGGGGGTATTTACAATGACCACCATTTTATTGGTGGCATTGGTGGACAGTGTAGGCTCATTTTCATTGCATTGGTGGCCAATGTTAATATCCCCTGTTACTGGGTATTCTACTCTGTCCATCAATATAATAGGATAATTTAAAGGAGAACTAGGGAACTTGAAAACAAGAAACATTCATACATGTCTCCTGCCTGCTCTAAGACCAAAACCTGAGTGATCACATGACTGCTGATCATTCATTTATTGGTCTTCACTGAGCAGAAAGCAGTGACTGTCAGTCACCAGCTCTCTGCACTGCTTCTCTACTTGAGCGTTGGGCTGTGGAGGGCGCAGGAGAGGCTTGCTCAGTCTCTCAGTGGTTTGCTGGGAGGCTGATCTAACTGCCAGTAAGGAATCTAGGCAGATCCATAAATTATCTTTGGGATCCCTGCAGAGTCTGGACCTGCACTCTGACATCCTGGGTCACAGGAGTCCAGAAATAGGTGCACTCCTATGACCCAGAAAAGAAGTATGGCCAAAAGAGCTTTGGCCATACTTCTCTTTCAAAGTTCCCACCAATGTAATGAGGAAATTCTGTACTGACCACCAATATACTGGGGGCATTCACACTCTCCACCAATATAAAAGAGGATTCTGGATTGATCAACAACTTAACTGAGGCATGTACAGACAGTTTATTTGGGGGGAGGTGGTGGTATTTGCGGGACGCATTTCAGGGGGACAGCCGACATCAGCAATTACTGTACTCTGATGGCGGGGAAACCTCCTGCTGTCAGAATACAGCAGAAGGGATTCCCCCATCAACATGGGGAACATGTACCAGTGCAAAAAATATTTTTAAAAAATTACATTTGGCTGGGAGCAGTGATTATTTTAAAGGAAATATGGTTTTAAATTGCAGGCAAACTACATTTCCCTTCTGGCTTCTATTTTTTTTAAAAAAGTGGCACACAGACTTCTCCAAAGGTCCCCCAAAATATCTGGGGAACCTTTGGAAGGGTCTGTGTTTTTTTTGTTTTAAAAATTTATATAAATTTTAAACAATTTAATACGTCTCATTTTTTATTCTTTATATCACTTTTTCTGTAGCACATAACAGATAACATGCTGTAGCAGGAAGAGTAAATAAAAACATTTGTTAAGAGTCCCCTCAAAATGCCATCACAACAAAGTTTTATAATTTGCTTTAATTAGGGTAGTATTGATAGAAATGTTTGATAGTGTAAAAGAAATATCTTGCCAATCCGATAAATAATAATTGACAGCTAAATCACTTTGCCAGTGCTTCATATACGGAAGTTTACAAAGCAGATCAGTGAGGAGAGTATATATCACGGAGATACGGCCTTTTGAAGAAGCCCTATTCCGGCAAAAAAGTTCAAAGGCGGTAAGCAAAGGCGCTTCATCCAATAATGGAAGCTTTGAGCGGAGAAATGAGACAATCTGGTTATATCTGAAAATTTCAGAGGTAGGCATATGCAATTTGTCCTTAAAATATTGTAAAGAATATATGCAAGAACCTTTAAGATAGTCTCCTATCCGCAACAATGATCCACCATTGAAAAGGGGCCGGCTTCAAATTCAGGGTTACAAAAAAACGGAGCTACAGGCGTATGTGGAGATGATTTACAATGGCGAACCCTGTCCCAAACTGCCAAAGAAAATGACAGAGTGGGGCACAGTATAGGAGGGCGTATGCGATTAGGAAGCCAAAGCAACGCCCCGACCGCGAGAGGGTGACAAGAGAGAGCTTTGATAGAGACCCAAAGGGGAATATTTCCCCAAGCGGTGGTGTAAGCCAATTGGGTGATTTGTGCAACCTGGAAGTTTGCATGAAGATTAGGGAGGCCAATTCCCCCCTGAGATCTGGAAGCCTCTTCTGATTCATCTGAGGCTGTCTTTTATTCTAAATAAAATGGAGGACCTCAGCTTGTAAATGCCGTAATTCTCGTCTTGGAATCGACACCGGTAAAGTCCTGAAATAATATAACAATCTGAGTAAAAACATAATTTTGATAAATATTGCAGCGCTAAAATAAGTGAATGATATTATAGTGAAAATACAGTGCTAAGTCAATCTGACATATAGCAAGAAAAAAAAAAAAATAATTTTTCAGCGGAACAGTGCAGCATATAAAAATCAAATATAAAAAATGTTCAATAAATCATTCAATAAATGTGAAACAGTAAAGTGCAGCATAAAAGTGAGAATATATAAAGTCCATAAAATATCAGTGGAGTAAGAGCTATAAATTGTCCAAGAATAGCTCACCACAGGAGCCAAAAGTAGTATATAGTGTAGTATTTATTGAAAAATGAATATGCTCAGTGAGCGCACCCCTGTAGACGTGAATGCGCACGAAACACGTCACAGCCGCACTTGCTGACGTCACGCCGCCGTTGCCGAAGGTCAGAACGGCGGCCATCTTGGTACTCCATTTTACCTTCATTCTTATTTTTTTCCACATGGATTGTCTTTTATTCATTATTTAATAAATACTACACTATATACTACTTTTGGCTCCTGTGGTGAGCTATTCCTCATAGGAGAGGGTCCACCTGCGTTTTTTTGCCCTTGGCTGAGCATCCCTTGCAGGGGCTTCATTGCTAATACCTGTACCCAGATGAGTTGTGCTTACATGCTGATTACCAGTAGATGTCTGGTGAGTGTACATCTGACAGAGGTGGTGGATTCCCTATTGGATCACTGCACAATTTTCATCATGATAGCTGTACTTATATCCTTACGGACAATTTCAGAGGCGGACTGACAACTCATGGGGCCCCTGGGCAATAGGGGATCATGGGGCCCCTGTGCCCTTGCCCAAACTCAGATAAGCCTATAAAAAAAAAAAAGTGTACCAGGGGCATTTCATGGGGCCCCCTACTGACCCCGGGCCCTCGGGCAGTGCCCGAGTGCTCAAATGGTCAGTCCGCCTCTGGACAATTTATAGCTCTTACTCCACTGATATTTTATGAACTTTATATATTCTCACTTTTATGCTGCACTTTACTGTTTCACATTTATTGAATGATTTATTGAACATTTTTTATAGGTGATTTTTATATGCTGCACTTCACTGTTCTGCTGAAAAC